TAGTTCTGTGATTTTAGACATGCTTTCTTGTAGAGCTTCTGCAAAAACAAAAAAGGGACTTTTTTTTTTTCTGCATTTTCAATGGTGTTTTTAGGGGAAATGTGCAGAACAGATATCTATGTTGTATAGGCCACTGCATTCTCTTTTGGTTCCAAATTGGTCAATAAAATTTGCAAAGTGACTTCAGGAGAGATAAATTCTGAGAAATGTGGAAGGTCATAATTACTATTTGGACCTCTGATTGTTTGTGATCAATAAGAGGATGCCTAACATAGAGAGGTGGGCAGGGTGACCAGTCACCTCCTTCTGTCCAAATGCACTTACAAATATTATTTATTCTATAAATAAAAGGAAGGATATCTTCTGCTTGAAGTCCATGAGCAATAAGATTCTGATGCAACATGGAGTTTTTCCCAAGGAGTGAGTGTGGCTTAAGTACTGGACTCTCTTAGCACAGAAAGGTGGAAAACAAAATGCCAGGTCTTGCTCTGCAGGAACAAAATGGCTGTTGCTGCATGTTGGATGCCATTAACCACACTAAGCATCCACAAGAAATGCCTCCCATGTCTGTGATGGAGAGAGAACTTTTTCTCTATCCCTCAGTCCCCCAAAAAGGCCTAAATATGTAGGTGGTGAGAAAATGGGTGGGGGAGAGGAACAGACATTAACACAATATCATGTTTAATAAATAGAAACTAAATTAAATTTATATTGAACTCATTTCTGAGAAGGATTCTTAATCTCTTGAACTCCCTTTTGTAGTAGGAGAGAAGAGACCAATCTGTGAGGGCAGCCCTGTTGGTGTTTCCAGCCTCCTGACTGCTATGTGAAGGGTCACAGCCAGTCAGAGAATATCACTGGGAGGAGGGTGATAGAACCATGGAGAGACCCCCTGCCACACAGCAAGGGCCCAGCTCTTGAGAGCATGAGATGTAAGCTCAGGGTTACACAGGTCTGAAACTTGGGAAGGGGCTTTTCAGATACATTGTTTGCTTTCTGCTGAGATGGGGAATGTGTCATTCTGCCAGAGTGCAACTTTTTAACAGATTATTAAACAAAGCTGTATATGTCTCACTGTTAAAAAAAAATATGGTTTTGGAGAAGAATATTGAATATGCCATGGTATTGAATATACCATGAAGAATGAACAAATCTGTCTTCGAAGAAGTGCAGCCAAAATGCTCCTTAGAAGGGAGGATGGCGAGACTTCATCTCCATACTTTGGAAGTGTTATCAGGAGGGACAAGTCCCTGGAGAAGGACATCATGCTTGGTAATTCAGAGGGTCAGTGAAAAAGAGGGAGACCCTCAACAAGATGGATTGACAGAGTGGCTGCAACGGTGGGCTCGAGAATAACAATCGCGAGGAGGGCACAGGACTGGGCAGTGTTTTGTTCTGGTGTACATAGGGTCGCTATGAGTCAGAACCAACTTGGCGGCACCTAACAACAACATCATATATATATGTATATGATATATATGGGAGCCCTGATGATGTAGTCGTTAAGAGGTTGGCTGCTAAACAAAAGGTCAGCAGTTTGAATCCACCAGCCACTCCTTAGAAACCCTATGGGGCAGTTCTACTCTGTCCTAGACGGTTGCTGTGAGTCAGAATCGACTCGTCGGCCACAGATTTGGTGTTTTATAGCTATACATATATGTGATATATGTAATTAATAAACAAACTGAAGCCTTTCTGAGATGTCTCTCTGGTTAACATTGTGTTTTATAGGAAAGAAAAAGGGTGGTGGTAATAGAAATGATATAATTTCCTTTGAAATTTTAAATGCAAGCATCTCAGCACTTCGTTAAACTGAGAAAATAATTCTTGAGGCAAGGATTCTATCTTATGAATCCTTGTGTCTAGAGCCTAGCATAGTACCTGGCACATATTAGACAGTCAAATGTGTGTTGAATTAGATTTTCCTTTCTCTAACGTAATTTTCTCTTTGGTTCTACCAAAGATTGTAGTTTGCACCTCTGTCATAATACTCATTGCACTGTTGTTTTGGGAATAAATTTACTTACTTGTGAAAGAAATTAGTGGTTTAAGGAAGTACTTTAACGTAGTTGCAGTCCAAGTCTGATGAAGCAACTCAAGGATGTCAAGAAACCTCCTGTCTTATTTATCTCCTATCTTAGTCTAGGGCTTTTATTCTCATGGTTGCCAGATGGCTACTGTACCTCCAAGCATTGTATCTCCATTCTAGGAAGACAAAGTAGAATATTTGCGGGCAAAGAGTAAAACGTATGATCCTCAGAAGGCTTTGCCTTAGGCTTGGGAATGGAAGCCCTCCCTGGTGACTCCCACTGGTGTCTCATTGCACAGAACTATGACACATGGGCACCTCTAGCTGCAAACGTGGTTAGGAATTGGAATATTTGGCTTTGCAGTCTCTGTAGATGTTGAAGTGGGTATTGATTGAGTCAACCTATAGGTCTGCCTTACAGGTTGGTTTTCTAGTTATTTTGTTTAAGTTTATCTTTCCAGATATATTGTAAAATGAGTACAAAGAATGTGTCACTATGGCAAGTGACTACCATAGCACTTAGCACAGTGTCTAAGATATTGTAGCTACTCAATGTTTTGTCATTTTAAAAAAGTTAATTTAGAAATAAGAACCTGACAAGAACTAGTGACTGTGGTTTCTCTGAAAATGATGTAATCTGCAGGTTTGCCTTTGGTGACTCATTCCTCATGTTGGATAATTACCTGGAGCTTTTTTTTTTTTTTTTCTGATGGCAACGGGTTTGGTCAGGTTTATTGCTTGGAATGTTTTGAAGTTATAATTCAGAATATAGGGCGGGAAAGAAAGAAGAGCCAGGAGCAGGCCATATCCTTTGGAACCGGGGTTGCTGCACTGAGAGCCTCCTCCATCCAGGGGAAGTTTGATGCTAAGACACACGGAGATCTCTGTGGAACGCTGGGCCCACAGATATTGAAAGAAGCAAGAACTTTCCCCCAGAACTAAAAGAGAGAGAAAGCCTTCCCCTAGAGCTGGTGCCCTGAATTCGGACTTCTAGCCTCCTTAACTGTGAGAGAATAAAGTTCTGTCTGTTAAAGCCAAAAAAGAAAGAAAGAAAGTTACATCACTCTTTTAAATGTCCAAACCAAAAGAAAAAAGAAAAACCGTTGCTGTCAAGTCTATTCTGACTCATAGTGACACCATAGCACAAAGTAGAACTGCCCCATAGGGTTTCCAGGGAGCACCTGGTGGACTTGAACTGCTGACCTTTTGGTCAGCTGACATAGCTCTTAACCACTATGCCACTAGGATTTCCAAAAGTCCGGTGGAATCTAAATACCATAGTAATTGGATATCCTCCATTATCTGTTTGAGCTCTGGTGGTGCAGCGGTTAAATCGCCCAGCTGCTAACCGAAAGGTCAGCTGCTTGAACCCACTAGCCACTCCACGGGAAAAAGATTTAGCAGTCTGCTTCCTTAAAGATTTACAGCCTTGGAAACCCTGTGGGACAGTTTTACTCTGTCCTATAGGGTCGCTTTGAGTCGGAATCCACTCGATCCATTTAAAAAAAGGGGAAGAAATTCTTCTTTAACAGTTGGGAATTTTACATGTTCCTTTTCCTCCATGAACTTGTATTTCCATTCCACTCCTGTCAGAAATGTTATCCTCTCTTTATGTTTGAAAATCTTGTGTTGATTACTCTCTCAGTAAAATGTTTACAGTAAAAATTTAACTTTGTTCTTAAAAAATATATAGGGTAGGGGAGAAATCATATAAAGATATGATGAGTCAGCAAGGACTTGTTCAAGAGAGGTGAAAAGATAGATAAGAATGAGGACAATATATTGGAATCACAGAAACAATTAGCAATTGGAAGTTAAAATAGTCTAATTTAAAATATTTTAGCTGTTCAGAGTTCTAAGGGAAAAATACATACAAATTATTCATTTAGTTAGAAAGATTTTCAAATTGCTAATTTTTACTGTTTTTCTTTCAAGTTAGATCTTGTTGCTCTTCCCTCTGTCATCTTTTTTTAAATTATAAATCATGACGGATGAAGATAAAACAATTGAACATGCAGATTCCAAACCTTCCACAGAAGTGAATCCCACAGCCTCCGCGCATCAAGAAACCCAGGTACATCTCATTAAGTGTAGAACATCCCAGCCGTTTCTTTAAGGATAGGGTTGTCTTCAGTCTATTATTGAATTGTGTTCTCTTCATTCCCTACCACTCCACTAACAATTCCCCCGTTCTTAATCCCCAAACTCATAAAGGCCACGTCAGGTGTGACTAGCAGTTTCCCAGCTAAAGCCATTAGGAGCTGGCCCTTACATGAGACTGGAAAAATGAGGGCCTGTGATAATCTTTGTGTTCCCAAACTAAACCCTAGAATGATTTTGGTTTCTTTATTTTCCCTTCTATTTCTTAAATTCAAGTAGATGAATGAATGTGAATTTTTTTTTTTTTTTTTACCACAGGTAGTTATCTTTTCCTGAACAACTTGGGTATATTTGCTGTCTGTTGCCCTGTATCTTATCTTAAATATGCTGATTTTTAAGCCTAACCCCAAAAAACAAAAACTAGCGCCACTGAGTCAGTTCTGACTCATAGGAACCCTATAGGACAGAGTAGAGCTGCCTCTTACAGCTTCCAAGGCTGTAATCTTTAGGGAAGCAGGCTGCCACATCTTTCTCCCACAAAGCAGCTGTGGGTTTGAACTGCTGACCTTTTGGTTAGCTGTTCAGTGCTTTAATCACTGCACTACCAGGGCTTGTATTTTAACCCAGCATAATGAAATTTGATGTGACTCAAGCATTTATACCACAAATAGTGACTCAATGCCAAATATAACATAGTTCTTGTTCCAGCCATCAGCTGATTACCTAGTAATAAAGCTGTCTATTTTCCTGTAAAGTGTTAGCCTTGATTCTAGTAATGGAAATATGATTTGTGATTTGATGACTCAGAACCTATAAAAATGTATAGCAAATAAATACAGTTTTAAGGTATATTTTGCTCCTTTCAACACAGGAGGAGATACCTATGAACCTCAGGAGTATAAATGGGAATGAACCAACAGAAGGAAATAACCAACTGAATAGCAGTGAAGAAAAGCCACAAGAAACACCAACTGAATCAAATTGTTTGCAGAGACTGAGAGAAACATTTGCTCGCCCTCCACGTGAATTACTGGCTACAGCAATAAGAAATGGTATGTAAACAGTAAGGGTGAATTAAGAATGAGAGAGTAAAAGATAAAATTGTTGTAATGAGAGATCCCAAAATAATATGATTTAAAAGACAAAAAGCAGTTTACTTCTCTCTCACATGAAAAGTACTAGGTGAACAGTTCACATTGCTAGGTAGCTTTGCTCCACATGGTCATTCAGGGACCCCCACTAACAAGGCTCCGCCATCTTCAGCGTGGAGCTTCCAAGATCTCTGTGGTCATCGCCATTCCAGCCATCAGGAAGGGGATGAGAGCAGAAATTACGGTGTTTTCCTTTTCCTCATCTCAGTAAGCATTTCAAAGCATTACTTCAGGGTTCCAATGAGAAAAATGTTTGTGAAATCATTTGTAACAGACAAGCACTACATAAATGTTGGACGTTATTACTATTAAGTAATGCAACTAATATTTGAGCAAACACATCTCCATTTATACTTCTAAATGAATCCTGTCGTTTTATAAGCAAGGATCTTGGTTTGCAATTCAGCTCAGTCCAATAGAGCTGCCATTACTAAAACATTTCTGGGATTTTTCTTTGGGAATTTATCTCAGAGCTATTTTGAATATTGTTAGGATTGGATATGGTCTTTGGAAGCATCCAAAGGTTATTCTTATATCAATTTGATGAATAAAATGAATGTTTAGATGCAGTAATGCCATTTTTTGTGTGCAAAATATAAGAGTGTGTGTGTGTGTGAGAGAGAGAGAGTTGAGGGATATGTAGTATAGCAGAAGGAAGAAGAAGGGTTTTGAAAATTTAAAGACAACTTCAAAATTATTTTGAGGAATGACAGCATCATTGGAAGAAATACGTGACCTCTCAAGGTAAATATGTTGAATAATTTAACACATTCGATCTAGAAGTTATGATTATTGAAAACTCAGACTCACTTCTTTACAGTTACACTTGATGTATGAGTTCTGAAAGACATTTTTATTTATTCATTACACTGTAGTTGAAGGTTTACAGAGCAAATTAGTTTCTCATTACACAATTAAATACACATATTGTTTTGTGTCATTGGTTGCCAACCCCATGACATGTCAACACTTTTCCCTTCTCGACCTTGGGTTCTCTATTACCAGCTTTCCTGTCCTCTCCTGCCTTCTCATCCTTGCCCCTGGGCTGGTGTGCCCATTTAGTCTCGTTTTGTTTTATGGGCCTGTCTAATCTTTGGCTGAAGGGTGAACCTCAGGAGTGACTTCAGTACTGAGTTAAAAGGGTGTCCAGGGGCCATACTCTCAGGGTGTCTCCAGTCTCTGTCAGAACAGTAATGAAAGACTTTTTTACCATTCTCATCTGGTACTATGGGAAAGCCAAGTATGATATGCTATATTTTAGGCTCTAGATGTGTTTTCAATGAAATTAGGTAAGGTTCTAAAAGCATGGGGAAAAAAACCCTCAAGTTTTATTTGGAACAAAGTAAATATACACTAATATACAGGTTCCAAAATATACACTAGCTAATAAGGCAACAGATAATTTAATGCCTTTTCTGTCGTTTTTAGTATTATTTTTAACCTTTACCATTCCAATTACTCCACATTTTTAGTTAAAACAATTACAGATAAAATAGATATGGATTGACATAGGAAAGGATGAAAATTAATGGTATGATTTGGAGACTCAAAGTTTTATAAAAATTCTATAATCATTGACCATAGGGCTGCCTGAAAAATGAGGCTGGGTGTATGTAAACACCTCTTCATTCGTATTCCTGTACTTCTGTTTCTCAAGCTTACAGCACTGCTCTTGTCCTATACTCCTCCCTGGGCCCCTTCAGTATACACTAAGTATGCTTCTTATGAAGTAATCTTACATGTGAAAATATGATTTTCCAAAATTATAAATGAGAAGTTAATAACTGAATTAAAAGCAATTTAGAGGAACCTTGTAAGTATGCATTTTCTGTGTATTTAGACTTATACAGTGCTTCACAGTTTACAAAGAACTCTTCACAACCTACCTTTAGCAAGCCCTATACATGTATATGGAGCCCTGGTGACACAGTGGTTAAGAGCTCAGGCTGTTAACCAAACGGTTGGCAGTTCAGATCTACCATCCACTCCCTGGAAACCCTATGGGACGGTTCTACTCTGTCCTATAGGGTCAACTATGAGTTGCAATCGACTTGACATCAACATTTTTTTGTTTCTTTTTGGTATGCATGTATATAAATATATAATTTATGGACAATTAATTTATAGGTAAAATTAGAGGAACACATCCTTTTTGCCTCTGGGATGTGGGCTATGATTTTTTTTCCTCCTACTTTTCTACTTTTTTATAGTTTTGATTTTTTTAATATTAGAATGTTTTCATAAATTATGTTTGCTGATAACAACATAATCCTCTATTATTTTATATCTTTGATATTATTGTTTATTTTGAATTATGTGCTGCCCAGTATACTCTTTATGTTATTAAAATTTATGATAAACAATATATCTTTTATATTATTAAAGTGTATAGTATAAACATATATATAAGCCTTAGAGTTAGTGAACAAGCATTACTAAGACCATTTGATTAATGAGGAGTAAACTAGACACTGAAGGCAAAAAAAAAAAAAGAAAAATTGAAGCCAATTCATACATTTAAAGAATGTACAGTCTAATTAGAATGTCAAAATATATAGCTGAGAATAACAGGAAATACAGCTGTTATTCTGAGACTTGAAAGCAAGAATATAAATGCAGTAAATTAAAATGCAATATGGTCAATCATGTAGACAAAAGTAATGAGCACACCAACCCAAAAGCAAAGGCGAGAAGGCAGGAAAGGACAGGAAAACTGGACGAGTGGAAACAGGGAACCTGGGGTGGAGAAGGGGAGCGTGTTGACATATCACGGGGTTAGCAACCAATGTCACAAAACAATTTGTGTACTAGCTGTTTAATGAGAAACTAATTTGCTTTGTAAACTTTCACCTAAAAAAAAAAAGAATAAAATGCAATATAGTAAGACCCATATTATGAGACTTGGAAGAATTGTTTCTTGAAAGAAACAAGAATGTTTTAATATAGAGTCTTCTAAATATTGGTAGTTTCTTTAGCTGCTGAAGTATTCATTACTACTCGATATTTATTTAAGAAAATAATTTTTAAATGATATCAAAGACTGCATATGACAATTTATTGATGGAAACTAGTTTTCCTGGTTTATTTCAGCTACCATGATTGTTCTTCTGTGCGCTTTAGTTTGGTTAGATCATGGCAGTGAAATTCTCCCTGGAGGAAACGTATTTGGAATCATAATCGTGTGCTCTTGTGCCATGATTGGAGGTAAACTGGTGGGGCTCATTAAGTTACCTACCTTGCCTCCACTGCCTTCTCTTCTTGGTAAGTGCTAACAACTTCCTGTTTTCTTCAGAGTATATCGTATTTTTTAAATAGTAGTTTGGAAAGTTTTAGGGGAATAAAAGTATATTTGGTGTGCTAGTGCCAATTTGTACCAGCTCGCAAAAGCCAATTTTAAATTTTGAGGAATTTTGTGAGCCAGTTGTTAAACATGTCTATTTTAAAATATTAGATTATGTAACTTAAAATTAATTAATTTATATTAAAGAGCAGCAAATACTCAAAATTCATCACTTCCTAATGAGTTTACTACATTTTCCCCTTATCCATGTTCTTAAGATTATTTGTGTCAATTGTATCTTTATGGCGGAAATAGTGTATGATGGTGTGCTGCTCTGCATCTTCCCAGCTCCACATTCAGTGACGTCATGTTGGTAGCTTAAAATTGGCCACATTGGGAGTATCTATACCACAGAGTCAGAAAATGCTACAAATTGGGGATTAATATATTGTCTGGTTGATTGTTTTGTCAATTGTCTAGACTTAAAATTTTATAGAGAAAACGTTAATAATTCAGATTAAGCTTAAAAGTATATCATGTCTGTAGCCTTTGCTTTGTGAACAGCATGAAAAAAATTGAGGATATTTTCTTCTAAAATTCAAAAACGAATTTCTGATTTGGCAAAGAAGTTACTCATATCATTGACAAATGAGTGAAGGATATATCTTGTTTCATTTTCATCTTATGCAGTTACATAACCAAAAGTACCAACTAACATTCATGACGAAACTACACTTGTTCATCAGTGATGAGTGGTTTCTTTGCTGAACCAGACAGTAATCAAGCATTATTTGTAATCTGATTTTGTCAAGTTATGGTTGAACTGCAACCATAGTTGGTTATGAATCCAGTTCAGCAAAAATCAGTGAGAGCATCCTGTGAGAATCAGTCGGCTATATGGAATTTACAGTGAAGAGTATTGTATTTGTGAATTGTGTGCTGCACAATATATCTTTTATAATGAAATGTATAATAAATCGTATCTTTTATATTGTTAAAATGTATAGTAAACTTATATACAATATAAAGGTGCATACATTTTTGGAGAGCTGGTTGTTAAGCATTTAATAGCACACCTCTGGGTATATTTAAAATATAATATCATGATCTTAAAAAATTAGACAAAAATCTTATTCCAGAGGCAGTGAGAATACCTACCCAGGACATGCATGCAAATTATTCTTAAAACTAGCTATTATGCCTTTCATATTTCTTTTTAAAATTCCATTAATTACAAAATTTCAATTTACCACAAAGGTATTTTTGTGTTTGTTTCTAACAGAATTACTAATCACTAAGTTTTATTCAAAAACCACTTACCATTTACACATACATATATATTGGTGCACATTCCCCAAACTAAAAGTTGGGTTTTTGGTTTTTGGTTTTGTTTTAGCTTATAATAGGAAAATCAGAGTTATTAACTTAGACCAAAATTGTTTGCTTTTGAATTTGTGGTCAGCAGTTGAAGCTAAATATTAAAAAAAAAAAAGGCGTAGAATTATTTACATCTTATTAGGAACTATTTCTCAATATATTTTTAAATTTTATGTAAAGTGAAATTATTTCACTTAACTTGTTTTACTTCTCATGGGTACTTTTTGTTCCCTGAAGTTGTTAATAAGGAGCCCTGGAGACACAATGGTTAAGTGCTTGACTGCTACCTGAAAGGTGGGAGTTTCGAACCTACCAGCAGCTCCACAGGAAAAAACACCTAGCAATCTTCTCCCATAAAGATTACAGCCTAAGAAACCCTACGGGACAGTTCTACTCTGTCCTGTAGGGGCAGTTCTACTGTATCCTGCTATGAGTCTGAATCAACTTGACAGCACACAACAATGTTATTAATTGAATTATTGTTAAAATGAATTATTTCTGACTATGCCTGTGTACTATAGATCAGTGGTTGGCAAGCCACCCGTTTTTTATCAATAAAGTTTTATTGGACACATCCAGGCTCACGTGTTTACATATTACGTATGGCTGCTTTTGCAATGTAATAGCTGTTTTGAACTTGTAACAGAGACTGTATGAATGCAAAGCCTTAAAATATATATTATCTGGCCCATTACAGTAAACGTTTGCTGACCCCTGCATCTGTGTCAGTGCTTCTCAAACTTTATTGTACATAGGAATGACCTTGATTGAGATTGTGTTAAAATGAGATTCTAATTCAGTAGGTCTGAGATGGGGCCTGAGATTCTGCGTTTCTAATAAACTCCAAGACACTACGGTGTAAGTAGAACGATCATTAGTCCTCAAACCTGGCTGCACATGGCAATCATACGGGGAATTTTTTTTAATGCTGATGCCTCGGTCCCACCCCCAGAGATTTTGAATTAATTAGTATGGAGTACAGCCTGGGCATTAGAATTTTTAAAAGCCCCCCAGATGATTCTAATATTATAATATGCAGCTGAAGTTGAAGACCAGCGTTCTAGACTCTATGAAAGTGTTCTTTACTCCTCAACTTCTTTTTACCCATCCAAGTCTATTATTGCAACAAGCAAAATATACTGCATTGCAAAGAGAGAAAGCTTTGCAGTGATCACATGAAGTCTCCTGAGATAACTAGAAATATTCTGAAAACTACGTACATGATATCTCTTATGTCTCTTTTTATAATATTACACTTGTGATAGAGAAAGTTTACCATTTTTTACGATATTAGGACCAGTGTCCAAAGCCAAAACATTATCTGAATCCATAGAGAAGATAGATTAAGACACAGAACACGTGATGATTTCCAGTTCTATATTTTTAAGTGTTTATTGAAATAATTGCTAGGGACGGGTGATGAGGGAACATTTTTGTTTGATTCTGAAATGAATGTGAAAACAGTTTCCCTGAGACTCTTTTCCCTTGCCAATGACCTGGTTTGGATTTGGCGGGTGTCCCCTTCTTGCCTCTCAGCCCATGGGGACCTTGTCCTTGGTTGAACACCTTCCCTGATTGAGGAGGAGTATTTTCTCTAAAAATTTGTGTTATGGAAATCTTTTAAGTAGGTGAAAATTATCAATACCAGGGCAACCTTATTTCAGCTACTCCTAAGTTATTTTAAAGCAAATCATTACTGAAAAAAACTGGTTTTATACTGTAATATTTCAGAATCTAAATTTTGCTGATTATATTCCAGTAGTATTTAGCATGTTCCTCTGTCCCTTTTATGTAAATTAATTGTTGATCAGAAGGTTTGTTTTTGTAAGGCCCGCAAAGCCTATAATATGTATTATCTTTTTTTTTTTTTTAACAAGACTGCTTCATAGGTGATTCATGGGTACATAATGTCTGGTCATCTCTTTTTCTCTTACATTGTCAGCCTTGATGATTATCATCTACATTCAGTAATTCCTTAGGCATCGCAACTGTGGTGCAATAGGCTTCTTTTATGTAGCCTTTCTGGATTTGCAGTTCTTCCAAAATGATTGGTCAGGCTGCAGTCGGCCAAGTGATTGATCTGTTTGCTGTCCATCTAAGCGGCTTGCAAGGAATTGGTTGGTTTGCTGTCTGTCTCAGTGGCTTGCAGGAAATGGTTGGTTTCTATCCACCTAAGTGGCTTGCAATCCACCCAATAGAACTGGTCAGTTTACCATCCTGCGAGGAAAACCATGCCTTGAAATTGACAAGTTTTCCTGTATAAGCGAGATCAGTCTCACAGAGGTTTTCTGGGGACCTCCTGATCTACAAGAGCCTGGAGAGGAGCATGTCCTATGACCCAGTGTCCCTGCATTGAGGACCTCCTAGACTCAAATAAAAGCTGTAATACTGGTCAAGGACTGTAATAGAGAGCTACTAACACTGAAGACCAAGAGAAATGGCGACAAGGACAGCAGAGCCGGGAAGCAGAGAAATGGCGACACGGGTGTGATCAGCAGGAACCACGCGACCAGCAGACACAGTGTCTAAAATACTGAGAGCGTTTGGTAAATGTTGAACGGATGAACGAAAGGGCAGGGTTGTCCATCCCATCATAACTCACCAAAGCCTTTGCTTAGAAGCAAAGTAGCTTAGGCATTTTTAAATTAAATTACCTGATTTGAAGGTAAAATGGACCCATGTAAGTATTTGTTAATACTTTGGGTAATCTGACATAGCACAAAGTTTCAGGAACTGTTTGCTATTTGTGCTTGAAGGGATGACTGAATTGAACATTGCAATAAAACATTTTACATTTAGAACTTGATCACAGTCTTTCCAAATGCTACATCCTGTTTCTTACTTTTTAGCTTCACGTATTTTGGGGGATATTAACTTTCCTACTCTATCTTTTTAATCTGCATATCAGAATCTTTTCTTTGCCCCTGTAATTTATTGTATTACTTTAATTTCTTAAATTAAAATCTTGATTTTAGCCAAGGACTAAGCATAAAGGAAGTGGTTCCTAGGATTATATACTTGTCTGTTTCACATCTGATGTGCTGAGAAATATTTTCTGTATTTGGAAACTAACAAAACAGTTATTTGACTTTTCCATTCAAGGCATGCTGCTTGCTGGGTTTCTCATCAGAAATATCCCAGTCATCAGTGATAATGTGCAGATCCAGCACGAGTTGTCGTCCTCTTTGAGAAGCATAGCCCTGTCTATCATAGTGGTTCATGCCAGCCTTAAACTGGATACAAAGGTATGAAGTAGGGATTTCTAATTGCTGAATAGGAATTTTGCTCCTCCAATACTGCAAGTGTTTAGAATCACTGAGCTTTACAAAGAGGATGTGGACACTCTGCATGACGGTCTCAAGGAGGGAATAGCAATTATTCCATACAGGACTATTGTGCAGTTAGTACCTTATGCTTCAGAGACCTCAGAAACTGTTCCTGTGCTTTCTTGGAGAAAGGTGAAGTGGGGACAGCACCAAGAATAAAGGTTCCCCTTTTCTCTGACAGAGATACAGGCCATAGTTATAAACTATCGTCAGTGAGGGAGAAGACATCTTATTTTTGGTGTGCAAAGCCCTGTATACATGCTTAGGGCTAACTGTACCGGCTCAGGAAACTTTCTAGTGTATAAAATGAGGCTCGTGTTTTTGTTTTGTCTTGTTTTCCATGTGTGTTTTTGAATGCAGGAGTAAATGTTCCTGGGGAACGTCATGAACCAGGTGAGGCTTTTTGCCCTAGTCTCACCCTGGGGCCACAGATGATAAATAAAGCTAGTACTGAGAGGGTTAAGTCGGCTAGTGTGGGGATTTTGAGCACAGACTCTGTAAGCTGCTTGCCTGAGTTCAAAACCTGGCTCCACCACTCACCAGTTTCATGATCTTGAGCAAATCGTGCCTCTTTACAAGAGGACACGTGAAAAATGGGGATAACAGTACTACCTACCTATCTCATAGTGTGGCTATGAGGTCTAAATAAATTAACTCTGAAACACTTAGAACACTGAAGTGTTTGCTAAATAAAGCCCATTACCTAGAAGGTTTGTGTTGACCGATACGTGGTCTGAATGCTGAAGGAAAAGTTTAAGGTCATCTCATACTCAAGTCCTTCTTCTCTGCATGCCTTTAGAGAATTATCTTAGTGTGTCTATTTTTATATTTCAGGTCCTGAAGAAGTTGACGGGTGTTTGCGTGAGACTAGCCATGGGTCCTTGTCTTGTGGAGGCATGCGCATCTGCTCTTCTTGCCCGCTTCCTAATGGGTTTACCATGGCAATGGGGATTTATACTGGGGTAATGGTTTTTCTTTGTCGATATGAAAACGTGCATGGATTTTAGGCATTTCTATGATTCTGTAGCAGAGAATGCATATTAGCATTTCCTTAAGGACGACAGAAAATGCAAGATAGACATTCCAGCATAATCTAAATACCCTAACTTTAAAACATAGTATATGTTTCTATAAGTGCTAACTTTTACAGTGATCATAATAATTTAAACTAACTGAAGAAGTAATGGTCTTTTACCTACTCCTGGTTCCATTCTGGTGACAGAGATGCAGGATCTCACCTTAAGTCTGTACAAAGGAAGATAAACACATTAACAGCCATCAGCGCCTAGGACTGTTTTCCTCCTTCTTGTCACCAGACTGTCGTGATTTGTGGTTCTGCTGTCTCTTCCTCCTGTTGTCAGTCCTTGCTTCTCAGGATTAAGAACCATGAGAAGTAAATAAATAACCAAGTACTTAGTGTTTAGTACTAATAAGCAGATAAGAAGAGTCCCTTTGTGGTGCAAATGATTAAGCTTAGCTGCTAACTAAAAGGTTGGAGGTTCCAGTCCACTCAAAGGCACCTCAAAAGAAAGGCCTGGCACTCTATCTCCAAAAAATCAGCCATGGAAAACTCTGTGGTGCACAGTTCTTTTTTTTTTCTTTGAGTTTTTTTTAATATATATTGTACTTTAGATGAAGGTTTACAGAACAAACTAGCTTCTCATTAAACAATTAGTACACATATTGTTTTGTGACATTGGTTGCCAACCCAAACGACATGTCAACACTCTCCCTTCTTGACCTCGGGTTCCCAATCACCAGCTTTCCTGTCCCCTCCTGCCTTTTAGTCCTTGACCCTGGGCTGGTGTGCCCATTTAGTCTTGTTTTGTTTTATGGGCCTGTCTAATCTTTGTCCGAAGGGTGAACCTCACGAGTGACTTCAGTAGTGAGCTAAAAGGGTGTCTAGGGGCCATACTCTCAGGGTTTCTCCAGTCTCTGTCAGGCCAGTAAGTCTGGTCTTTGTGAGTCAGAATTTTTTTCTACATTGTTCTCTGGCTCTGTCTGAGACCCTCTGTTGTGATCCCTGTCACAGCAGTCAGTGGTGGTAGCCAGGCACCATCTACTTATGTTGGACTCAGTCTGGTGGAGGTTGTGGTAGTTGTGGTCCATTAGTCCTTTGGACTAATCTTTCCCTTATGCCTTTGGTTTGCTTCATTCTCCCTTGCACTAGATGGGGTGAGAACAGTGGAGTATCTTAGATGGCCGCTCACAAGCTTTTAAGTCCCCAGACACTACTCACCAACGTAGAATGTAGAACATTTTCTTTATAAACTATGTTATGCCAATTGAGCTAGATGTTCCCTGAGACTATGGTCCCTGCAGCCCTCAGCCCAGTAATTCAGTCGCTCAGAGAGTTTGGATGTGTCCATGGAGCTTCCATGGCCTTGCCTTAGACAAGTTGTGCTGGCTTCCCCAGTACTGTGTACTGTCTCACCCTTCACAAAAGTTACCATTTATCTATTGTCTATTTAGCGATTTTCCATCCTCACCACTCCCCTCCCTTGTAACCATCAAAGATTGTTTCTTTTTGGGTGTAAACATTTTCATGAGTTTTTATACTAGTGGTCTCATACAATATTTGTCCTTTGTGATTAACATTTCACTCAGCAAAATACCCTCCAGATTCATCCATGTTGTGAGATGCTTCACAGATTCATCATTGTTCTTTATTGTTGCGTAGTACTTCGTTGTGTGTATGTACCGTAGTTTATCCATTCATCTGTTGATGGGCACCTAGGTTGTTTCCATCTTTTTGCTGTTACAAACGATTTTGCAGTGAACATGGGTGTGTATATGTCTATTCGTGTGATGGCTCTTATTACTCTAGGATGTATTTCTAGGAGTGGGATTGCTGGATCATATGGTATTTCTATTTCTAGCTTTCTAAGGAAATGCCATATTGTTTTCCAGAATGGTTGTACCATTTTGCATTCTGTGGAGCACAGTTCTACTCTGACATGCATTAGGTCGCCATGAGTTGGAGTAGACTATACAGTAACTGGTTTTAGGTAAGTAGGTAAAAAGTGAGAAGTTCTTACTTGTTATGGTTTAGACTTGAAGTTATACTGCCTTGGTTCAGATCTCTAATTTTCTAGCATGTGGCTTTTGGCAAATTACTTAATCTCTCTGGACCTCTATCCTTATTTGTAAAATGATGATTATGATTTAATCTACCTCATAGGGTTGTTACAAGAATTAAATTAAAACAGTGTTTGGCACGTAAAGTGCTCCTTGCTGTTCCTGCTGCTCCTGTTGTTATTATCACCACGGTCACTGTCATCATGACCTTCTCCTCCTGATCTGTCGTCTTACTTTACATACCGAGTCCTGATAGTGTCACTGGCTTGCAGTCTAAAATATACATGGCAGTGTTTTTCAAACCTCATAACATGAATGTTTCGTTTCAGAAAAAGGCAGATTTCTGGGGCTTAACCCCATTAGGTCTTCTATTTACCAGTTACCGTCGAATCGATTCCAACTCATGGCGACCCCATGTGTGTCAGAGTAGAACTGTGCTGCATAGGGTTTTCAGTTGCTGGTTTTTCAGAAGTACATCTCCAGGCCTTTCTTTTGAGGCACCTCTGGATGGACCTGAAGCTCCAGCTTTCAGCTGGCAGCTAAGCGCATTAACTATTTGCACCACCCAGGGATAGATCTTCTATACCACTCACAAAATAAATAAATAAATGATATATAACTATCCTAGTCATCTAGTCCTACTATAACAGAAATACCACAAGTAGTTGGCTTTAACAAAGAGAAATTTGTTCTCTCACAGTCTAGTAGGTTACAAGTCCAAATTCAGGTCATGAGCTCCAGGAGAAGGCCTCCTCTGTCGGCTCTGTAGGACCGTCCTTGTCATCAGTCTTCCCTTGGTCTGGGAGCAACTGAGTGCAAGAACCTCAGGTCCAAAGGACGCACTCTGCTCCCAGCACTGCTTTCTTGGTGGTATGAGGTCCCCATGTCTCTCTGCTTGCTTCTCTCTTTTATATCTCAAAAGAGATTGGCTTAGGACATTACCTATTCTTGTAGACCTCATCAACATAACTGCCACTAATCCTTCTCATTACGTTATACTGGTACAGTTTACAACCCACAGGGAAATCACAGCAGATGATAAAATGGTAGACAGTCATACCGTACTAGAAATCATGACCTAACCAAGTTGACAGATGTTCTTGGGGGACACAATTCAATCCATGACAATAACCCTGGTGGGACAGCAGTTTAGAGCTGCTAACCCAAAGGTCAGCAGTTCAAATCTATCAGCCGCTCCTTGGAAACCCTGTGGGGCAGTTCTGTTCTGCCCTGTAAGGTCACTATGAGTCAGAATCAACACGACAGCAATGGGTTTGGTTTGATACATATATGTGTGTATGTGTATTAGGCAACCAAGCATTTCCATTGCAGGTTGTCTATGGCCACACTTTAAAAAACAGTGTTCTGTACCCTGAGAGTATGGCCCCCAGACACCCTTTTAGCTCAGTAATGAAGTCACTCCTGAGGTTCACCCTTCAACCAAAGATTAAATAAAATGAGACTAAAGGGGTACACCAGCCCAGGGGCAAGGACTTGAAGGCAGGAGGGGACAGGAAAGCTGGTATTGGGAACCCAAGGTTGAGAAGGGGAGAGTGTTGGCATGTCATGGGATTGGTAACCAATGTCACAAAATAATATGTGTACTAATTGTTTAATGAGAAGCTAGTTTGTTCTGTAAACCTTTATCTATAGCACAATTTAAAAAAAAAAACAAAACGGTGTTCTGTGGAATTTATGTGTGTGTGTTTCTGGTTTGGCACTTCTATGCCATTTGAAAGACTAGGTAAAAGTCTACAAAGTCTAGCCTCCAAAACAGTAGAGGTTATTATAATTTTTTAAAAAAAGAAAGATATTAAGATACTATCATAAATGTTTAAAGTGCTGCCTGCTTAGTTTTGTTTTAGGTGCTGTATCTCCAGCTGTTGTGGTGCCTTCAATGCTCCTTTTGAAGAAAGAAGGCTATGGTGTTGAAAAAGGTGTCCCGACCTTACTCCGGGCTGCTGGCAGCTTCAATGCCATTCTAGCCGTCACTGGCTTTAACACGTGCTTGGGCATAGCATTTTCCACAGGTAAACGAGTCAGTTCACAACATATTGTTCTCTTGCACTCTAGAGACATAGATTAAAATGTTACAAGTGTGGCATATTTGCTTGATAGTTGATTAAGACAAAGTAAAAGTAGAGAAAACAACTCCAGGAGTTCTGTACCCCGGGGACCAGTACGTACATTTACTCCCTTCCTGTCTCTAAATACAGGCTGTTCAAGAGTCTGCAGTAAGTGCAGTAAGGGGGATACAAAGTAGTCAAGTTTAAAGAAGGAATAGAACAGCTTCTGCTTGGAGTGATCTGGGAAAGTTTAATCTTGGAGAGTCACATGAAGAAGGAGGAGTAGATTTTTTTCAATGAGCACAAGTGACAGAGCAGTCCAAGCAGAAGCAACAGAATGCTTTAAAAGAGGGACAGTTTCTGTCCCCTCATCTTTAGCATTTTGTGGGTAGTGACAACAATGGTTTTAATGGGTTTGGTTGATCCTTGCAAACAAAAAATACTTAATTTGTGTCTGATACTGACGTATCTTTTTTTATGTAATAGTAAAAGAGGAATTTAAGGCATTTTTTTCAAACACTGTTATTTAACACCTTTGTTACTCTTTAAGGGGCCCTGGTAGCGTAGTGGTTAAGCACTTGGCTGCTAACCTAAAGGTCAGAGGTTCAAACCCACCAGCCGCTCCACAGGAAAAAGATGCAGCAGTCTGCTCCTATAAAGATTACAGCCTTGGAACCCTGTGGGGTAGTTCTACTCTGTCCTATAGGATTGAGATGGAATCAACCCTATGGCACTGGGTTTGGTTTTTGGGTTTTTATTATCCTTTGGCATTTCTTAATCTTATCTTCTCAGATTGAGAGAGAAGATTTTCAACCTTGTATTATTGACAAAATGTAATCGCAGCCTCAATTTAGCTTCAGATTATCAAGTGGGAAACATACCTTCTTGGAAAGTCATGCATTTTCAGTTTCTCCAACCCTTGTAGCTTTCCTCCCACTTTATGATTATATGTGATTTATGCCGGTTACCAGAGCATCACCTCTTCACATTGCCCCAGAGTCTGCCTTCCAGCCAATTTCTGCCTTACGGTGACTGCTGTGTGTTACTGGCAAATCAATCTTCTCACGGCATTGGTTAATAATGTTACCTCCTGTTATCTCCTCAAGAACCAGTGAGGATTCCTTTTACCTGTTAGGTCAATTCTACACTCTTGTCCTTATTTTGACTCTACTGTACTTTCATCCAAGCTTATTTTCTCACTGCTTTCCTGGTACACACCTTTAAAACAGTCATTCTCAGCCTTGGCTGCACTTTAGAATTACTTGGGGAGTTTTAAAAAATATCCATATATGGGCCCTAAACCAACCAACCAACTAGTTACTGTTGAGTCAATTTCAACTCATGGCAACCCCTTGCAGAGTAGACTACCTAATGCTCCATAGGGTTTTCAGTGGTTGATTTTTCGGAAGTAGGTCACCAGGTCTTTCTTCTGAGGCTCCTCTGGGTGTACTTGAACCTCCAGCCTTTTTGTTAGCAGCCAAGCATGTTAACTGTTTGCACCACCCAGGGACTTCCACAGACCAATTCAATCAGAAACTTTGAGAATGGAAACCAGTGCAGTCAGGATCAAGAACTACTGCTTTAGAGCAATAGCGTTTGTATTAGAATCAGAGGGGGAGGGGGAGGGGAGACGAGGAGGTGGAAGGGTCAGGGCTGGGGTTTTTATAATTCAGAGTTTTGGGGTTGGAGGTGGGAAGAGGAAGTGTGGATAGTTGGAAGACCCTTCATAACTGACTCTGATAGGATCCCTCTCTTCCCCCTCCCACCCCCTCCCAGTGTGGTCCAGAGACCTTCTGCATCAGGATGATGGGGATCCCAGGCCTTGCCAGACTTATTGAATTAAAATTTCCATGGATAAGACCAAAGAAGTCTTTTTTTTTAAAAAAAAAAAAAAACAACTTCAATATACCAGAGACTGAAATGAATTAGGTAGTTTCTACACACTTATAGTAAGTGATTTACTGTAGTAGCTTGAATGTTGTGCTAATATCACAGAGAGATGCTTTTGACAGTTACACCATTACCTGGCAGAGAATTGTCCTAGCTAAATAAAAATACTACAGAGGTAGTTTAAAAATTAAATAGACAGTTGCTGCAATAACAAGAAATAACTAGTTACTGAGTACATTTTTCCTTAGAACAGTGTGTGAAGAAGGGCTTTATGTGCTGAGTAAAAAGAGCAATCTGAAAAATAATTTGTTTTCAGATTTACTTTTTGAGTAAACATTTGAGAAGGAATAAGTCCTCTGTACTCATTACAGTTTTTTGATTTTTATTTCCAAATTCTTAGGTTACTGCAGTCTATACATATCAGAGATACTAAAATCAATGTACACTTATTATGAAAAACCAGGCTCTTAAATGATCATTTGAAAGTTTAGTGAGCTCTGTCTAAATCATTCAGCCTATGCGTGTAAATGCAGTAGAACAGATTAGCTTTTAATTATGAATTTTGTCTTTCACATTTTCTTAGGCCCTTTAAAACTTTATTGAAGTAAATGCATAAAAAACTATACAAATCATATCTTAGCCTGTTTCATAATTTGTCTCCAATTATATGCATACCTTTCTTATAAGATTAAAAAAAAAAAAAAAACCAATCTTATAAGATAGGCTCTTTCTAGCAAACATTTTAAGTCACAATATTTAAGAATGTAGAGGGTCTGTAAACTTCCGTGAATGTAATTAGATGCTTTATTCCAGTGATTGTAGAAGTCAAGTTTGTGTATTTAAGGATTAAGAATTCTGTCTGAAGTTTTTCTTTTCATGTCTTTTTCAGGCTCCACAGTCATTAATGTCCTTAGTGGAGTTTTGCGGGTCCTAACTGGTGTAGCGACTGGATCTCTTCTTGGACTTTTTATTCAGTACTTTTCAAGCAGTGACCAGGTGAAAGAAATAATCTGTGAGAAAGTCATGCGCTAAAATGCCATTAAAAACACTCTGAAATACTTCCATCAAAGCTAACTGTGAAGGACGTGGTTTAGAAAATAGCCCCTCAGTGTAAAGTTGCTTGCTGCTGTATCAGTGCCATCCGTGAACTTTATGAAGAGGACTAAATGCATAAGATATTCCATGCAGTCTGAGCATTTTTCTCTAATGTATATTCTGTACACTTTAACTTTCACAGTAAAACAAATTTAGAAAAATAAGATATGCCAGTTTTTTTTATTACACTTAACTAAATCAAGATATATAATTTTTTTTGTCTCTTTTGTTAGTATCAAAATACCTTAGCTTCTAATACTATCCAGTAGAGAAGTTTTAACATCTCTGTATAATGTAGTCCAATATTTCTTTCCAAGAAGATCAAAGTTCTTCACTGCACAGAATGCTTTCTCAGGGAGACACGAAAGTTTTGATTCTTTTATCCTCCTGATTCTCTTAGGGTAGATAAGCATATAGAAATTTTTCTTTCCATAGGAATTGGTGTTATTTTCAGATTTCAGTGCCTTTTTAATGGAGTTCATCAATAATTTAATTAAAATAGAAATTTAGTTAAGAAAGTTAGTATTTCCATTATCAGAATGTATGTTGATTGAATTTTTATTGTACTGTTCCCCAAAAAACTCTAAAATTGTCTGCAGAAAATGCTATAAATACACGAAAGAAACATATGATTATTCTAATTATACAACAAATAAAGAGAATATGTTTCTTTAATATTTTTATTATTTACAAATAATAGCTTACTTTTTTGCCTACTGTGTATAAAATGCTGTGATAAGTACTTTAAAGTCATCATCTAGTGCTACGCTGTCCCACATTGTAGCCACTAGCCACATGTAGCCATTTAAATTAATAAAACTAAAAATTTAGTTCCTCATCATAAGTTCTAACAAGTCTCTCTAATAACAGGAATGTCTACACAATTTAAAATAATTGTTCAAGATTTGCTAACCAATCTATCGTCAAGACTTTTCTTATTGAAAACAAAGAAACTAACATAACCTCAGAAGTATTCAGTCCTGAAAGTCATGTTCAAACTAGCTGATCAGCTAATTGTTCAAAATATAGGAAACTAAAATATGTTGATTGAGGTGAATATTTTCTTATCTAAACTCTAAATTTTTCTAATTTGTTCCTTAATATTAAAGGTACATACAATTGTAAAAATACTTGTAGACTCAATAGATTTTTAAAAATCAAAAAAGAAAACAGAATCAGTTCCTCAGTTGCACATTCAGTGGCCACAGTGAGTAGCGGCTCTTGGACTGGGAAGTGCAAATAGAGAGTATTTCTGTCATCACTGAAAGTTATCTGGGCAGCGCTGACCTAGTGCCATCCAGATCACCCATGAGGAGGGTACTGTGAATATGACCATTTTACTGATGAAGAAATTGAGGGGATAAATGACTTGAACAAGATCACATAGCTAGAAAGCAGTGGAGCTGGGATTGAACCCAGAGCATCCAGCTCCAGAGCCTGCATGCCTCCAAATCAGATCAAGCACTTTTAAAAACCTGCATCTTAGAGTGATTAAGATGTTTAAAATGCTGAACAGAGGAAAGTAAAAAGAGAAAGGTACACAGTTGTCAGACTTAAAAAAAAAAACTACTCTCAATCTACAGCCTCCTAAAACTTCTTGCGAGTCAAAGATTTATAAAGAAAAACCAAGGGAGCACCAAATTAAAGAGGAAACAGAGAGCCGGAAGATAGTAGAGAGACGATATCTTCAACCTCCATAGAACCTCTAAGATGTAAATGTTTTTATACCAGTTTCGCCAATGAGGAAACAAAGCTTGAGAGGTGAAGTAATGCAGCCACAACATACATGCCAATGATGTAAAAGAGCTAGGATTTAACCCAGGTCTGTCTGCATCCAAAGTCCATGTACTTTTTTCTACTACTCTATTCAGCCCTGTGAAATTATGCATTGATGACTGTTGTTGTTGTTAGCTGATGTAAAGTCTGTCCCCAATTCATGGCAGCCCCATACACAACAGAACAAAACACTGCCCCGGTTTTCATAGGCTGATTTTTGGAAGTAGATCTCCAGGCCTTTCTTCCTAGTCCATCTTGATCTGGAAGACGCACTGAAACCTGTTCGGCATCATAGCAATACGAGGAAGATAACTGGTGTTCCTGAAAAGGAACCTACATTTGTGTATACACTCACTCTGCCTTTGTTAAGGAAAAGAAAGTAAATGTTAAGTCGTGCATTTATGTGAGCAGATGCAGGCATTTTTAGTTTCCTATAAATTCATATTATAGAAAAATCCATAATTAAAAATTAGTTACTTGAAATAATTTTGCTAATTAACTTTTTTTCTCCTAAAGGACAATCCTGTGTGGAAGAGAGGATTCCTCGTGTTGGGGTTCTCTGAGCTAGTTGTTCTCAGCAGCCTGTATTTTGGTTTTCCTGGGTCAGGAGAAATACTGTGCACAGTGCTCATGGCCTTCATCGCAGTTATAGTCTGGACAAGGAACAAGGTGAATTTCATTTTAAGTTCTGTTCACAACTACTTTCTGATCAGATTATTTTTTTTTCCTTCCAGATGCTTTTTTAACATCGAATACCATTTTTTGTCATAAAGCTATTTATATGCATAGACATGTACAATGTGCACACTAATATCCTTTTTTTTCCCCTTATATACCAATTCATAATCTGATGTCTTAATATATATCATGGTCATATTTGCACGATGCCTTCCTTATTGTTTTGTAATATCTGCAGAGTATTGCATTTTATAGCTATGTTGTTGTGTGCCGTTCTGCCGATTCCAAGTAATAGCTAGTCTGTAAGACCTTATAGGACAGAGTAGAACTGCCCCATAGGGTTTCTTAGGCTGCAATCTTTCTGAGGAAGGAGCCCTGGTGGCGCTAGGCTGCTGACTGAAATGTTGGTGGTTCAAACCCACAGTCTGCTCCACAGGAGAAAGACCTGGCAATCTGCTACTGTAAAGATTACAGCGTTGGAAACCCTCTGGGGCAGTTCTACTCTGTCCTATAGACTAGTTATGAGTTGGAATCAACTCCATGGCAATAGCTTTGGTTTTTGGTTTGAATCTTTATGGGAGCAGATTGCTAGGTCTTTTGTCTCAAGGAGCGGCTGGTGTCCGCTGACCTTTTGGTTAGCAGGGCTTAACCATTGCCTTAGCCAGGCTCCTTACTATTAACAGATAGTTAGGTTGTTTCTAGTTTTTGCTAAGACAAACAGTGCCTCAATAAAATATCCTTACATATGCCATATTTCATAAACTCTAAGACACTATCATTTCTAAGGAAAAAAAAATCCAAACCCGTTGCCGTCGACTCAATTCTGACTCATAGCGACCCTATAGGACAGAGTAGAACTGCCCCATTGGGTTTCCAAGGAGCGCCTGGTGGATTCAAACTGCCGACCTTTTGGTTAGCAACCGAACTCTTAACAACCACACCACCAGGGTTTCCATCATTTCTAAGAAGCACCATTATTTTTTGTGCCACCAACAAGGAAAAAAAATATGCTGCCAGTTAAACTGTGACATGCCATCCTGATTTCAGGAATGTTAAAATGTGAAAAAATGTGTATCTTAGACTTAACAAAATATAGCTTATCTCTGAATTTATCTGTAGGATAAATTTCTAGAAGTAGAATTACTCTTTCAAAGAGTATGCACATTTAAATATTTGATAGTATCGATTTGCCGTTTCAAACGGCTGCACTAATTTAGATTCCCACCAACAGTATGGGAGAGGATCTCCTGAGTGTTTTCAATCTTCAAGTCTTTGTCAATCTGATAGGTGAAAAATGTGTATTATTATTAATCTAATTTGCATTTCTTTATGAGTGAAGCTAATCATCTTTTCATATTTAACAGCCAGTTTGCTCAAAAGCCTCTGCCCATTTTTGATTTTTAAGTTTATTAATTTTCTTAATCTCTATTATGGAAATTAGCTGGTTGTCATTTATTTATTTTAATTTCCAGATATGTTTTTATAGATTTGACCTTGGCTCATATGTTATTCCACTTAATGAAAAGATTATAGGTGTAGGTGACCTAAATTAAGTGCAGATAATATGATTTTGGAATACATTTTTTTCTCAGGTTTTATTTATTTATTATTGTACTTTAAGATGGAGGTTTATAGAACTAGCTTCTTATTAGACAATTAGCATACATATCGGTTTGTGACATTGGTTACCAACCCCACAACATGTCAACACTCTCCCCTTCTCAACCTTGGTTCCTATTACCAGCTTTCCTGTCTCCTCCTGCCTTCTAGTCCTTGCCCCGGGGCTGGTGTGCCCCTTTAGTCTCGTTTTGTTTTATGGGCCTGTCTAACGTTTGGCTGAAGGGTGAACCTCGGGAGTAACTTCATTACTGAGCTAGAAGAGTGTCTGGGGTCCATAGTCTCGGGGTTTCTCCAGTCTCTGTCAGGCCAGTAAGTAAGTCTGGTCTTTTTTGTGAGTTAGAATTTTGTTCTACATTTTTCTCCCACTCTGTCTGGGACCGTCTATTGTGATCCCTGTCAGAGCAGTCGGTGGTAGTAGCCAGGCACCATCTAGTTGTACTGGACTCAGTCTGGTGGAGACTGTGGTAATTGTGATCCATCAGTCCTTTGGACTAATATTTCTGGTTCTGGAATAATCTTATAAAACTTGAAGACAACTGTTCAAAATAATTAAGCTTAAGATAATGCCTTATAGATGAATATGTGAAGGTCCTAAATCTTGAGATCAGGTATAAAATCATATTCAATTAAATGAATGTCTGTGGGGATCTACTGGAGACAAAATTTCATTGTGGGTAAATAGCATTCACGTAGAAGGTTTCACTATATAAGGGTGTGATTACAAAATTACAAGTATGATGTTGAATCATCTCATTTTAGAGGGAGGGATTAGTAGGGGCTGCCTGAAGCATTGTGTTGAGAGGGTATTGAGGCCACAGGAAAGTGGGCTTATATGGAGTGGGCTTCAGAAGAGAGGGGAGAGCCCCTTTTAGCCTTGCTCTAGGCATTATGAGCACCTAAGCATCCTGCCTTGCCAGGAAGCATAACTATAAGGCTCATATCATGTGTGTGTGTCTCTCTCTCCTCTGTCGTTTTAAGCAGCACCTGCATTAATAAATTCCACTGATTATAAGTGACTTAACATCCAACAAAAGCAAAGGAAAAAGTAAAAAAATTTCCTAGTATAAATTGGGTACTCATCCCTCATCTCTCATAACATTTGTTGTTATCAAAACATTTGTTCTTACATGGATTCACTTTATCTGTGGGCTGAGGCAGGGTTAACAACCTACCTCTGTCAGTCTCAGCTCAAGACCAAGGGATGAGCTGCATCCCTGAATCCTCTGAGGATTCATTGTCTGTCTTCCATTCCAGCCTTGGCTGCTGATTAAGGTACCCTGCTCTTAGAAGCACCCTGACCTGCTCCTTTGCCCCAGGACCAACATTTAAGTTCCCACTTAGCAAAGGGACGCTACTGCATTTGCATTGTGACCCAATGACAACTGGTTTTTTGTTTGGTTTGGTTTTTTTAATAAGTCAGAAACACTTAAGTAACATGTCCAAGGTCACAAAACTAGAAAGTGGCAGCATTGGGATTTAAGCTCAGGTTTATCTGACCTCAAAACAACTTCTACTACCCTGTAATACAACTGTAGTATTGTTGTGCAGGGCACATTTTTATATTTTGACATCTATTTGAGTAACAAATACTAAGTGTATTAAAAAGCATTATAATCTTAAATTCTGCAATTTATAATGAAATCTCTAGCACAACATGACTAATGTA